TTCCATTCTATTTTTTTAGCTCCCTTATTGAAGATTAGATGGGTATAGGTCTGCAGGTTCATTTCTGGGTTTTCAATTCTTTTCCATTGGTACTGAGGTCTGTTCTTGTGCCAGTACCAAGCTGTTTTGATTCCTATGGCTTTATAGTAGAGTTTGAAATTTGGTGTTGATATTACTCCAGCAGTGTTCTTTCCATTGAGGAGCATTTTTGCTATTCAGGGTCTTTTATTGTTCCATATGAATTTTTGGATTGCCTCTTCTATCTCCTTGAAGAATGACATTGGAATTTTGATAGGTATCGCATTGAATTTGTAGATAGCCTTGGGAAGTATTGCCATTTTCACAATGTTAATCTTTCCCATCCAGGAGCATGGGAGCTTCTGCCATTTTCTAAGTGCTGTTATGATTTCCTTTTTCAAGTTTTTAAAGTATACTTGGAACTCAAAAAATTAAATCCCCCAACAACAAATGCTCAAAGAAACAACTACCCAATAAATAAGTGGGCTAACTACTTACAGAGAAACTTCTCTGAAGAAGAAAGAAGGATGGCCAATGGACACATGAAGAAATGCTCAACCTCCCTAGCCATAAAAGAAATGCAAATCAAAACAACATTGAGATACCACCTCACCCCAGTTAGAATGGCAAAAGTCAAGAACTCTAATAACAGATGCTGGAGGGGATGTGGACAGAAGGGAACCTTACTTCATTGTTGGTGGGAGTGTAAACTTGTTCAACCACTTTGGAAAGTAGTATGGAGGTTCCTCAAAAGACTCCACATAGAGCTCCACATAGAGCTATGACCCAGCAATCCCACTTTTGGGCATTTACCCAAATGTTTACAAACAAGACCACACTAAAGCTACCAGCACAACTATGTTTATTGCAGCATTATTAACCATAGCTAAGATATGGAACCAACCCAGATGCCCCACAGTAGAAGAATGGATAAAAAAAATGTGGTTTATATACACAATGGAATTCTATGCCTCTATCAGAAAGAATGACATTGCCCCAATTGTTAGGAAATGGAAAGGCTTGGAAATAATTATATTAAGTGAAGTAAGCCAAGCCCAAAGAAACATAGGTCCCATGGTTTCCCTTATTTGCAATATTAAGTATATTTATGAGTCGAGCAGAAAAGGTCAGATAAGGTGATGATAGGAAAATGAACCCTAAGATAGGTATTCCAATGTATTTTTTTCTTTCATGCATTTGTTTCGAATGCATTTATAAGATTTTTTCTTTGTTGCTTTGTATGTCCCTTCCCCACATTATAACCCCTGCTTTCACTGTATTTGATGTCGGTATAATTTGTGGAAGGGAAGGGGAAAAACAAGTCCTTTAAATAAGGATACAGGTGGACCCTTTGCAACAATGAGAAGTACAAGTTGTCATGTCGAAAACGAACTTTACAACTTTGGTGGGGGGGAGGATTTGTTGGGGGGGCGGAGGAAAGCTGGGAAGGGATGGGAAGGGTAAACAAAGGAGGAGGCTACAATGCTTGATAAGAAATGTACTCATTATCTTGCCCATCTAATTGTAACCCCTCTGTACATTATTTTCACAATAAAAAATAAATAAAAATTAAAAAAAGAAATGCATCCTGAAATCCCCATAGATCTTTCTCTTTTATAATGACCAACTCAGCTTTACTTTGATGAATACATTAACTAGGAATTTTTCCAAAAGCTATATGAAAAAGCCAAATTAAATAGTAACAAATCAAATAAGAATTATGTGTTCCTTTACACAGAAGTTTCTAATGTAGGCAGGTTGGAGACTATACTGTAATTTCTAGTTTTCTCTTTTTCTATGCTTGTCTCTGCTCTCAGAGGGTTAGCTAAACTGATTATAGTTCACAAAGCATGATGGGAGCATGATCAAGCAGAAAGGGTCTAATAAACCTCAGTATTTTCTAGCTTAAGAACTGTTTCTAGAAATTTTTCCCAGTAACTTCTTTTTTAATTGTATTGTATTGTAATAGCTTGTCCATTGCTAAGAAGGTCCTGTGTGGGAGATAGAAATAAGAGCTCTTCAGAGATACATATATATGTAAGTCCCACATACCTGTGAATTCCTTTGCATGTGACGATAAATTTTCCTTGCCCATGTGACAAAGGTTAAATATCATCAAATGGGAAAGTTATCCTGGACAACTGGGATGAGCCTAGTCTAATTATAAAACTTAATTGTTGAGAATCTAACGCTGGTGGATCAGAAAGAGATGTAACAAAGAAACACAGGTCAGGCGGATCATACGAAGAAATTGGTGTACACTTGTTATTTTTGAAGTTGGAGGAAAATAACCAGGAGGGAAGTAATGCCAGAGATAAGCAGAAGGAGATAAGAAATGAATCAAGGTCACTAGCACTTTGAGATTTGCAATGTATGCCAAATTTTTCACTATATGATTATAAGACAATGAGTTAGTGCTGTTCAAAAAGCCACTATTTTTGGGAGAAATAATTCTCTGAGAAATATATTTAGGATGAGTAATGAGTTCCATTCAATAAAATCATCCCTGGTATAGAAGAAGCAGGGAATATAAGATAGGAAATGCTCTAATCTTGTCAATATCCCATCAATTTTCGCATCTCAATTAAGTGAAGTAAGCCATGCCCAAAGAAACATAGGTCCCATGGTTTCCCTTATTTGCAGTATCTATTATATGTATGAGTCAAGCGGAAAAGGTCAGATACTGTGATGTTAGGAAAATGAACCCTTAGATATGTATTTTAATGTTTTTTCTTTCATGCATTTGTTTCTAACGCATTTATAAGATTATTTATTTGTTGCTTTGTATGTCCCTTCCCCACAGTATAACCCCTGCTTTCACTATATTTGATGTCAGTATAACTTGTGGAGGAGATGGGGAAAAAAAAGTCGTTTAAGGATACAGGTGGACCTGTTGCAACAATGAGAAGTACAAGTTGTCATGTCCAAAACGAGCTTTACAACGTCGGTGTGTGGGGGGGGTGGGGAGAGGGGAGGAGAAGGATTGGGATTGGGGGGAGGGGGTAGGCTGGGAAGCGATGTGAAGGGTAAGCAAAGGAGGAGGCTGCAATGCTTGATAAGAAATGTACACATTATCCTGCCCATGTAATTGTAACCCCTCTGTACAGTATGTTCACAAATAAAATAAAATTAAATTAAAAAAATTAAAAAAAACACGATACAAATAGAGTTAGTTAATATCTCAGCCAACTTATGATATTACAATCCAAACAGTGAAAAAATAATAATTTCAGGCTTGACACTGATGGCTCATGACTGTAATCCTAACAACTCAGGAGGTTGTGATCAGTATGTCGGGGTTCGAAACCAGCCCAAGCAGGAAAGTCTGTGAGACTTTTATCACCAATTAACCACCCCCAAAAATGGAAGTGGAACTGTGGCTTAAGGTGGGAAAGCACTAGCCTTGAGCAAAAAAGCTCAAGGATAGTGCCTAGCCTTGAATTCAAGCCCCATCATTGAGAAAAACAATAATAATCAATCAAAGTAATAATAATCAAGGAAATAGCTCTGGATATTGTATGTCACATAGGATTAAGTACATCAACTCCAAAGAACTTCACAAGGTGAAGTTTATGCCTGCAGAATGGTGGGCTACGGACAGTAGCCGAATAAGAAATTGTACTGGTTGGGTACTTCTTAGTGCATTATTGTCCATCATTATAATTAGTCAGAGGTTAGGTTCACAATCTTGTGTTATTCGCTGACTTAAAAAATGTTAAAGTTTACCTGAGCAATCAACCAAACATTGAGCCAAAGTAGGAACTTATCAGAAAAATAATTCTTACCCATCTGGCTCTCTGTCACTTTGGTCAAGCAGACCTTCAGGCCCTACAGAGAATAATTCCTCTGACAGGATTTTGCTTAACTTATTCAGTTTCTTGCAAATGGTGGTGCTTACATTAAGCAGTCATTTTGATAGGAAAATTGCAAGGAAGGATGGAATAGAATAAACTATTCCACAAGAAAAGAGCAGCTACAATATCAGGGCAGGTCACCTTTCAGGCATTGGTGCATATCACTAAAGTCATGCCAGTAACAATAGCCACTTCTATAGAATCTCCAAGAATATGGATGAGATAATGGTCAACAGCCCATACTCATAACTGAGACCTTTAATTCATTACATCTAGCACTCTCCTATAAGCTCTTACCTCTTTGCATATTTTAACCTATAGCTCTAGCTTATATCTCAGGTGGCTAAAGATTGGCTGAAGTGCATAATTCCCATCTTCCTGTGGCTTCTTGAGCTGTGTAATACATTTCTTCTCCCTGCTTTTAGTAATATCATCTCTCTCTGTGTCTCTCTCTCTGTCTCTCTCTGTCTCTCTGTCTCTCTGTCTCTGTCTCTCTCTCTCTGTCTCTGTCTCTCTCTCTCTCTCTCTCTCTCTCTCTCTCTCTCTCTCTCTCTATATATATATATATATATATATATATATATATATATGCGAGCAGGTGAGTGGACTACATGTACAGAATCCTTGAGTTTGTGCTTAGAGCCTGACACTCCATTTTTAGAAGCCATTGGTCTGTTAAGTTTAACAATGTATCCTAAGAATGTTACTTAATAGTCACAATGATATTAGGTCAGAAACAAAGGTTCAAAATAGATGTCTATTTAAAGGGACAAAAAGATAACCAAGTTAATTTTGGCTCTGTCCGAAACAGCCCATTTTTCTACATTCAAGCTAAACAGTCGGTGGGATCATCACGACATATATAGATAGGACCTTGAAAGAACTCAGTTGTGGATTAGTGCATTGTCTATTGGGACTCCCAGATTTAAGCTCTTTTATTAAGCCTCAATAATGGAATTATATAACATTGAAGCATTGGAGTTTGAGGCACTGATCTAATTGTAATATGACTTACCTGTGTTTGAAACAGCTCATCAGTGCTTTAATTCCATTTTGTCCCTCTCTGTCTTCATTCAGTCTCTTCAAAATTTTCCCCCTTTTAAGTCTCTTCTTCAATATTTCCCTTAGATTTCAGGAATGACTGCAGTGATTGATAAATGTCTTTATGACAAAGAACTGTCAGCAAACACAAGGGTCACAGGGCAAATCTTCCTATGATGAGATTTCTCCTCAAGGGAGAGCAATAGCCCCAGGATGGAAACAGGTTTCACCCTCAGCAGAAACAATCATCTTATGAGACACAGATTACTCACTCGCTCAAGTGCTAACAGCAATGCAGACTTCTCTAGATCCATCCTGAACACTGAGACAATGGTCAGGCAGATCATAGCTGGAGAAGACAACACGTTCTCAAAGCTAATAGCTCTACAAAGCCCTAATTTTAAATTTTGGTTACTCATTTACAATAGGGGTGATGCTGGGAAGGGATGTGAAGGGTAAGCAAAGGAGGAGGCTGCAATGCTTGATAAGAAATGTACGCATTATCCTGCCCATGTAATTGTAACCCCTCTGTACAGTATGTTCACAAAAAATTAAAATTAAAATTAAAAAAATAAAATAAAATAAAAAAATTAAAAAAATGTCAAAGTTATGACAGCCCTTCACAGATAGGCCCGGGGTAACAGAACACTTTGATCAGTTATTTCTAACGTGACCACAATTAAAGCTCTTTTCTCTTTTGTCTTTGAGACATGTAGTATAGCTTAATCTGTGGAGCTGCCTGGAGATAACACATTTGCTCTAGAGCTCTGGTGACATTTGTGAAGGTACCATTACATTAAATAGAAGCTTTACATTGTATTAAACAGAAGCTCTAAAGAGCACTTACATACTTGCTTAATTTTAGTGCCAGTACTGATGATTAAACTCAGGAATTTGCACTCTGTCTAGCTTTTTAAAGGCAAAACTGAAACTCTACTATTTGAGCTACACTTTCAACTTCCTTTAATTCATTGGAGAAAAGAATCTCAAAGACTTTCTTAATTGGGCTGGCTTTGAACTACAGGGCTAATTTCTCAGTTTCTACAGTAGCTAGGATTGTAGGGATAAGCCACCAGTGTCCATCACAGGAACAGATTTGTGTGTGTGTGTATATATGTGTGTGTGTGTGTTGCTGAGGCTTGAACTCAGGACTCTGAGCTTCGCTGTTCAAGGCTAGCTCTCTACCACTTGAGCCACAGCTCCATTTCATACTATTTGCTGTTTCATTGTTAATAGGAAGCTCATAGATATTCCTACCTGGGCTGGGTTCTAGCCATGTTCCTCCAATCTCAGCCTCTTAAGTATCCAGAATTACAGTATAAGCATAGTAAGTCATAATTCTGTTATATATTTAATATGTGTGCACATGGAAATACACATACACAGACACCCAGAGACACACACACATACATACACATATATATTAAAATTTTAGATTTCTTTTTTTTTTTAATTTTTTTGGGTCGGGTCGTGGGGCCTGAACTCTGGGCTTGGGCGTTGTCCCTCAGCTCTTCAGCTCAAGGCTAGCGCTCTACCACTTGAGCCACAGTGCCACTTGAGGCTTTTTTCTTTTTGCTTATGTGGTGCTGAGGAATCGAACCCAGGGCCTCGAGCATGCAAGGCAAGCGCTCTACCACTGAGCCACCTTCCCAGCCCAAAATTTTAGATTTCTTGGGAAAGGTGTATTTGGGAGTTGAGGGTGACTCATTTCAGCTATTAGAGAATAAAATGACCTATTCACATCTTCAACCATTCATTATGTAAATATATACTTACTAGAAATGTTTATATATGTGCACATATGCAACAACATTCTTATATACACATAGACACAAAAGCAAGTCTGTAAAATGACAAGTATATAAATTCTACAAAAAAGGGTACATTTTCTGAATCTGTTTTGCTCAGTTTTGATTGGAAAGAAAAACAAGATCAGTAATTAATCCATGCTTATCTTAAAATTGTACAGCAATTGGCTATTAATCTGAAGTCGAAGAATAAGCATTCAGATAGTTTTATGAGACCTAAATATTGAACAAGTCACTTCACAGTTTTTGGTTGATGGATGGCACTAAGTAAAGCTGCCCCTTAGTGGCAGGTAATGTCCCACAGATCATAAATTTGGAAAGAATTCTCAAGTGTTTATTGATTGTGCCTAACAATAAAGTTAAATGTCCAGAACATATTTTGATTTTATGGAACACAATATAACTAGAGGAGAAATGCAACCCAATTCTGCTTACAGTCAGAATGCTGAAATCATTAAATCTCAGAGGCTTTGTTCATGCTCTTTCTGTGAGTGTTGGAAAATCAGACTTCTAAATTTGATAAAGCAATTGTCCCTTTTTGTTTTGCATCTATACACTCTTCTAGGTCTGTGCTGTGTACAGCAAATCCCTCCAAAAGAGGAAAAACCTAGAAAATAGAAAATGGTTTAAACATATATTGAAGCATTTATGTCCAAGTTTACAAGGACCCGTATCTATCCCAAACGTGTTCCACAGTCCAGAATGAGTCACATAGTCATAATTATGTACAGCAATTGTTACAAATGCAGTCAAATTTTTAGTGAAGAGAAAGAGAAGTAAATTGGTTCCACAACTAACCAGCTATGGTATATTCTGTCAAAGAAAGGACTTTGATATGTATATATGTTATAGACTGATCCAGGATCATAGAAGTAATTCAAATAGAGGTAAATTTAAAATGGTAGCTTTTTAGGGATAATCTGCACAAATGATGAAAAAATATAAAAGAAAAATCCAAATGGAGTTACTTTCCTGATTTCAGCCACGCTTTTCTCATTGTTGGCATACAGAAGAATCATTGATTTTTGAGGGTTAATTTTATACCCTGCTACTTTGCCCAATTTTTGAAAAAAAAAAAAAAGCTAGAAGTATGGCTCAAGGAGTATATATAGATATAGAACACTAGCCTTGAATAGAAAAAGAAAAAAAAAGCAATGAGGGCTAAACTCCGCATTCTCCACATGGATGGACCAGGCAGAGAATGCTGACTGAACACTACAAACAAATAAAAACTTGAGCAAAAAAAAAGACAAGAAAAGAAAAATTCAGATTATATAGCAGGTAGATTTCCCTGACATAAGTGGTAAGTTTACATTGTTGAGGGTTCAATTCCTCCTATTATTCATTCCATTTTGCCCCCAATCTCATTGTTATGGGAAGGACAAGGAATCATGGAACTCACAAGAGTCCTCAATAAAGATCTCCCAGAAGAATTGTCCAACAAGTGGGAGAACTGGATACCAAATTTTTGATGTACAATATGGCCCCAAAAATATATCACTACATTAAGAAATCAAAGGTATAGGAGAAAAAATGTAAATAAATAGGAACAGCAAATTTTTAGGGTAGACAAGGTGAATTTGACATTGATTCTACTGACTCCAAAGTTCACTCTTCACTGCCTTAAAGATTACCTCATTTACTTTGAAATTAGTTACCAAATTTAAAAAGTCTCCTAAGATTTAATATTAAATATCTGAATGCACCTTACAGCCCTAGAAACCTAAAAGAAGATTTCATGCATGAGTACTTTTTCTGGTATTGAGGGACAGAGGGAGGATGAACTATCCCCCTTGCATACTGCCCATGATGATCTTTTCTTCACTTGGTTTTACTGAAGTTCTCTGTGAAGAGATGTGCCATCATTGCTTTTCTCCTCTGTTACTGATGTTGCTTAATATTTGACACATAGCCAGGTATGAACCGGGATGTACTTGTGTAGGTATATTTGTTAGGTTCTTAAAGTGCCCTAACTTTCCCAGTGTTCTAATTCAGGGGATTATAACAGCGTAATTGCCATTTTCTTTCTTTCTTTCTTTTTTTCTAAAAATTGTAAAGGTTATAGTTACTTAAGTAAGGCAGTAAGTATATTTCGTTTTGAATAGTGTTACTCCCTCCTTTGTTTCTCCCACTTTCCCTTCCCCCAACCCCTCTCCTGCACAAGTTGTAAAGATCCAATGTAATGTCTTGTGAGTAACACTGTTGCGTTGGTTCACCCTTTATCCTTTGTCTCATCATTTTCATATTCAGTTTTTCCCCCTGAATAAATGCAAACAGTACACTAAAGAAAGAAAAAAACCTCTTTTTTCCATATCTTGTAGCTCATTTTGATTAACATCATTTTATATGGTTATATGTACATAGCTATTGAGCTATTGTGATCATCTGCCAGGAATATGCTACACATATACTAATTATTACAAATGAGTGAGGCCATAGAGCCTGTGTTTCTTTGAGTCTGGCTTCCTTCATTAATATGATTTTTCCCCAAGTCTTTCCATTTCTTTCTGAATGGGATGATTTGATTCTTTCTGATAGAAGCATAAAATTCTATTGTGTACATCACATTTTTTAGATCCATTCATCTACTGAAGGGAATCTGGATAGATTCCACATCTTGCCTATGGTAAACAATGCTTCAATGAAAGTAGTTGTGCTGGTAGCTTTAGTGTGGCTTTGTTTGTGGTATTTTTGGTAAATGTCAGGTGTAGAACTACGGGATCACTCTCTTCAACAAATGGTGCTGGCAAAATTGGCTATACGTTTATAGAAAACTGAAGTTAGATCCTTATATATCTTCCTGTACCACAATCAATACCAAATTCATCATAGATATCAATGTAAGATCAAATACCTGAAAATATTACAGGAAATGATAGGGAGAGCAACAGGGCTCCTTGGCACAGGTTGAAAAATCCTAAATAAAGGTACAGTAACTGACATTTTCTACCTCTTATTGGGTCTTTTTCTCCATAATGTGTTGCATCTGGCTTCTTTACTCCTAAAACACTGCCTCACGGAGCTGGGGTCATGGAAATATGTGTCAGAGTTTATATATAAGTCAGTGACCAGTCTTTACACTGGAAACTTGTTCAAAGTTGATGCTCGTCCTCAATCCCCATGGCTGTAACCTTGCTAAGGGACATTCTTTTTCTTCCAAGTTGTATTCCTGGTGTCTGAGGTCCATGGTTTCAGTAAGTACATCGTAGACCAGTCCCATTCTGAGTTAGAGAGGAAAGATTTGTTTATGTCTCAGCTATTACAGAAAATGTGGTGGAGGTAGCACATAAAATACATTACCCTGACCAAAAGGGTAGGAAGGTGGAGTAAACAGACAGATCTCCTGATACTTTATCTCCAAAGAAGTTC